TGGCTTTTAATGTCTGTGATGAAGTCACTGTACTGAGAACAGATGGGACTTCGTGCTAATGATCACCTGGGATCTGTTCTTAGCCCTTAGCACAGTATGCCTGGCACATAGTAGGTATTTAATAAATGAATGTTTCCTTCTTTTGTCTTACTTCATTATTCCTAACCATCAGTAAGGCCACAGCCTGGACTTCATCCTTGCTGAACCCACCAAGATCTAGAACTTAATTCCTCCCTCCCCATCATTACCACAGCATCCTTAATTGACAACTTATTCTTATCCCTATAACTACTGAACTATCTCTGCAGTCTCAGTGGCATTTCCAGTCACTTTCTACTACATCATTCAGGCCATTGACCTTCTATTATCACCTGATCCCCTGCCTGGCCTCACCTGATTCCCTGCCTAGCTTGGCCTCCCATGAGGAGCCACTTTATATGCTATCTTCATAAATATCCCACATTTCTTGCTTCTCCTCCTCCTTTTTCTCCTCTTCCTTTTCCTCTTCCTCTTAACCTTTTTATATGCTCTCCATACCCACCTTGGATCACCCATCCTTTTCCTCTCCTCATGTATGCTGGAGCATGTCCAAGAATGTCATGGGAATGTCATCACCAACCTGGCCTAGTGCAAATCTATCATCTCACTTCAAGTAGATTCTCATGGATGCCCAGTATTGCTTTTATTAATTTCTTATTGATTTCCTAGCACTGCTCCCTGGCCACTGACAATTCCAGACTTTGTCTACCTTTCCACACCCCAACAATCTTGCCTGTGCACCTCATTCTTCAGCTGTCACCCTTTCTACAGAATGGTTCCTTCCCTTTGTTTATATGTGCGCAGTGCTCTTATCTTTAAAACAAGTAAGCAAACAAAAATAAACAGAAGTAGCTTGATAATATAAACCTCAAAGTATAATATAAATGCTACTTGTTATCATTATTATTATTATTATTATTACAAACAAAAGCTTGACCCTTATGTCCTCATTTCTATCCTCGCTTTCATTACCAGATACTTCAAGTGATTAGTCTATACCCATTCCCTCAAATCTTATTATTTCTCAACCCCATGTAATTTGACTTGGCCTCACTGAAACTACTTGCTCTGAGGCTGTCATTGATCTCCAAATCACCAGATTCAAAGGCTTTTCTTATTCTTCATTTCCCTTGACATTTAAGAATCAATTAACACCACTGACCCTCCCCCCTTCACTTTGAAACTCTCTTCTCCTGGGCTTTCTGTGATACCATGTGTCCCTTCTCCACCTTTAAAGTTGCTACATTCTTTTTCTTCACTGCTTGTTCTGTCTCTCCACTCTTTCTCATTTTGGATGTTTTATGAGGTTCATTCTTTAGCCTCGTGTTTTTCTCTTTCAACACATTCTCTCTCAGAAAACTTATCTACTCCTTAGCCATCACCTCTATAGAGATGACTCCCAAATGTGACTGGTAACCATATCCAATCAGTCACCAAATCGTGTTGGTTTTTCCTTATTTTCTCCACATCTACCCCTTCCTTTCTAGTCTTTTGGGCACCACACTCCATCACATCCTCCATCATGCCTTGATTATTGCAAAGCCTCCCAAATGGTTTGTGTTTCTGGATCTAGCTCTTTCCTATCTATTCTTACTTTTATCCCCCACTTCAGAATTATCTTCCTAAAATTGGCATGGTCCATTTAGAAGCCAAGTTGCCCAGGGATGGTTTTCCTTCATCATTGTTGGTGTTGAACATATATTCAACACAAATACCTTCTGTGGCTCCCTATTGCCTTCAAGATAAAGTTTCTATACTTGTCATTAAAGGCCCTTTACAGGCTGACCCCAAACTACCTTTACTATTTTATTTCCCACTCTTCCCTTACACTCATGCAAAGCTGGGCCCCCTACCTAACCTGAACCTGCATACATCTAACCCCAGCTCAAATCAGACTCCAGAAAGATGACAAGGAACTCTATAGATCCCTTCTTGGATAGAAAACAATGGCCTTTTCCAAAAGAAAGTTAATTTTCAGAAATTTACTAGGTAGTAGAAAAAGAATTAAAATTCAGGCTTATTATCAAAATTCTTTCCCTGATGACTCATTAAGCTTACTAATACAGGTTTAAGTAAGGTGATAGAATAGGCCATTTAAAAATGTTGTTTCAAGCAGGTTTCAAACCCAAACTTTTGTCCAGCTGGCAGGCCTGTCTAAAAATGTCTTGACCCTGAACTGTGATGAGGTTAGCAAGTACCTTTTGGCAGGCATTCACTGACAAACAGCTGCAGGGCTTTTATAGTACGAATAGGTTAAATAAATAAAAATTCAAATGAACTCTTTCCATTTTCTCTGAAGTAGTGTCTCTTAACTGTCTTTTAACTCTGGGAGTTTAGTTCAGCCATGTTTGTTTCCTTCTGTGAACCAAAGGATACAGCTTCTAAAAGAAAGATATCCTCACTCTAGGTGGCTAAGCCAGTCAGCATTTGGTTTTTTCTTCTAGAAACCAACTTTATTTATGCTTTTCCTTAAAATGAAAGAATATTCAATCTGCTGTGGCCACAGTCCAGCTTGATTCTGTCGAAGTCAAAGCCCTGCTCCTGCATCTCTATGTCATGGACAATGACTAGGGGGTCACAGGAGCTGAGTGTGAATCCCAGCTCTGCTGTTGCGTGTACTCCTTGGACAAGCCACACCCCCTTTGTGTGCCTTAGTTTCCTCATCTGTAAAATGATGGGGTTGGACTAAATTAACTCCAGGGTTCCTTTCAACTCTCCACATCCTATGTGCCCATGATCTTTTTCAAAAATTAATTTATTTTAAATTCAAATACTAGAACTTATATACAGAATAAGAAAATAAAAAGAAACATATTTTAAACTTAAATACAAAACAAGAAAAGAAAAAAAGATGGCCATGTGCACAACAGAACATAAGAACAATAGAACATATTCAAAATATAAAGCAATAAGTTTCTATTTCAGGAAAGCCTATATAATAAACACTACTATTGTGTTCAGAGCCGTCCATCTTTTCTTTGCTTCCTTGTAGGTTTTATTTTGTTCTCTGCTGTGCACTTTTTACTTTGTTCTTTTTTCCTCCCTTCTTACCTCCCCTCCCTCCAAGAAGGCTACAATTAAGCACAGATACACACACATACATATACATACACATAAATACACATACACACAAACATATATGCATACATATAGACATACAATACATACATAGAGGTATCTGTAATCATACACCTATATACACATATACATTCATATACATCTATGTAAGACCATGCTATGTTTGTTTTCCCATGATCTTTCAAATGCAGAGCTGAAACCTTTGATGATATAAGGAAAAGAAGTTTTATAAAGCTATTATCTCAGAGAAAACAATTATTCATTCATTCTTTTATTCATTAAACTATTAAGTGCCTTCTAGGCATAAGAAAGACCTTTTGCTAGAGGTTGGGGGAAGAGATACAAAGAAGCAGAAAAAGAGGTCTTCCTGCCATGTTTTTTTTTTTAAGGCAATGTGCTATTCCTTTATGTATGCAAAGAGGACACTTGTTAGCCCCATCATCCAGGAGCTCTTCAGTGGTTTTTCTGGTACGGGGAATGGCCTTATCTTATTCTTTCTACTGCCCCTATTGATCAAAACCACTTTCATGGGCAAACCAGGGAACTGGCAAGAACCAATGATTTTGATGCCATCATTATAATAAACTCAGAAGCAGAAGGGCATAATGGATAGAGGTCCAGCCTTAGAGTCAAGAAAATCTGGTTCCAGTCCCATCTCTGACATACCAGCTATGTGACCCCTTAGTGCCAAGGCAAGCCTCTAAGGCTATCAGTTGCAGACTAGTTGTTGACCTGGATTGGCAGAAAGAGTATCCTCACTGGGAAATAAAGTCAGAAGGCTGGACAAAGACAAAGTATGTACAAACACAACTCACATTTAGATAGTAGGTTATGGTTTATTAAATTCTTTCATCAGAACAGCCCTGGTGTAATCATTCTATCGCATCTCACAGATGAGGAAACTGAGGCTCAGGAGGATAAGTGATTTGTCCAAGGTCACATTGCTAGTTAGTGTCAGAGGTGAGATAAGAACCCAGACCTTCTGATTCCAAGATAAGCCCATATTCTGCTATACTACTCTTTCTTATTGCACTTTCTAGCCACACAAGGATTTAACTCTACTGTGCAGTGAGCTACTTATTCCCACTTCCTTAGTTTATACTGTGGAGAACAGACACTTGAGAAGGCAGGAGGTCAGGGTTTCAGACTCTTTTCTTTTTAATCTTTGAGAATAAAACTATGTTCTATTCTATTTCCATGTGAAAGAAACCTCAAGACAAAATGAGAGGACCATTTAATTTGAAAGTCAGATAAGTCTGACCCCCTTGCTGTCTTTGCATTATAGAGTTTGAATCTCAGAGCAACCACTGACATTTATATAGCACTCTAAAGTTGGTAAAGTTATCTTTTTTTTCCTTAATAGTATTTTATTTTTTCCAATTACATATACAGATAGTTTTCAACATTCACTTTTATGAGATTTTGAATTCCAAATTTTTTTTCTCCCTCCCTCTTCACCTCCCTCCCCAAGATGGCATGCAGTCTAATATAGGTTATACATGTACAATCGTATTGAACATATTTCCACATTAGTCATGTTGTGAAAAAAGAATCAGAACAAAAGGGGAAAACCATGAGAAAGAAAAAAAAAATGAAAATAGCATGCTTTGATCTGCATTCAGACTCCACAGTTCCTTCTCTGGAAGTGGATAGCATTTTCCATCATAAGTCTTTTGGAACTGTCTTAGATCATTGTATTTCTGAGAAGAGCTAAGTCTATTAAAGTTGATCGTCACACAATGTTGCTGTTACTATGTACAATGTTCTCCTGGTTCTGCTTACTTCACTCAGCATCAGTCCCTACAAGTCTTTCTAGGTTTTTCTGAAGTCCACCTGTTCATCATTTCTTATAGCACAATAGTATGCCATCTCATTCACATACCACAGCTTGTTCAGCCAATCCCCAGTTGATGGGCATCCCCTCAATTTCCAATTCTTTGCCATCACAAAGAGCTACCATTACACAAGTTATCTCTTGTGGGCCCTCGCAACAATCCAGGGGTTAGATGCATCAGGTATTATGATCCCTATTCTACAGACAATGAAGCAGAGTCAGAGAATCTAAGTGATTTCCCAGGGTATGTAGCTATTAGGTCTCTGAGATAGGACCTTAATCCAGATTTTCTTCCTTGATTCCAAGCCATTCTCCCGTCTCCTCTGGGCCAGAACAGCAATGGATCAGCCAGCAGCTGGGAGGGAAGATGTGAGAGAATAAGCATTTATTAAGTACCCACTGCATGCCAGGTCCTGTGCTATGAACTTTACGAATATTATCTCATCTGATCCTCAAAATAACCCTGTTAGGCAGGAGCTATTATTAACCCCAATTTATAGCTGAGGAAACTGAAGCAGATAAAAGTTAAGTGACTTACTCAGGGACATGCTAAATTAGGAAGTATTTGAGGGAGGATTTGAACTCAGGTCTTCCTAACTCCAGGCCTAGTGCTCTATTTGCTGCACTACCATCTGCCCCAACTTCCACTCATTCCTTCAAGTGCAAAGCCATCCTGATGCGCCCCACCTGCTTCCACTGCACCACTTAGCTGTGGGCTCACACACTCTTAGGTGGCTATTTCCTTATCTCTCTATTTAGTTCCTTAGCCAGTCCATTAGAGTACCAAGTTGAACAAAGATGTTGATGTTTGTGTTTGTATTCAGCATATTTTTGGGGGGCAGTCAAGGTTAAGTGACTTGCCCAGGGCCACATAGCTAGTACATGTGAATTCAGGTCCTTCTGACTCCAGGGAGATGGTCTAGTTGCCCTGTTTAAGCATACTTTCAGCAGTATATCAATAGGAGTCCATGAAACAAATATTTTTATGTTCTAAAAATGAGTCAAAATGCTTTTTAAAGTAGATTTTTGGGTTCGGCACCTTGGTGATTCATCCTGTTCCAGCGCCTTCTAGGAAGAAAGTTTCAGCCTGCCCCAGCCCCTGCCAGCCCCATTCCTCCACATTTCCCAGGGACAGCCTAGTCAGCTGGTGCTGGATGAGGATTCTTCAGCCCAGTCACAGCGGCAGCAGCATCAGGTTCTGTTCTGTATATGTGCTGCCTACAGTCGTGGAAAGAATGGCTGAACCCACCGTTCAGCTTCTCATTGGCTTCCTGCAAATGCCATTTCTTGTCAGTGAGTCAGAAGGAACAAGAATCAAAGGCTGGATGTGGGTGAAGTATTCCAGGCTGGGAGACAGTAAGGACATGCGAATCCGCAGAAGTCTCTGCTGCTTTGTTTTATCCATAAGACACTAGAGGAAAGGGAACCATGAGCTCATCCTTTAGGATTTTCATACAAAGAGATGTGTGTGCTGATGTCTCTGGCAGTCTTATCACTTTAAGGCTATTTAGTAGATCAAGCATTTAGGATTGTTGTTGCTTTTTGGCTTTTTAAAAAAACTTTATTCCATGGAGTCAGCCATCAACTGATAGAGTTTATAGATAGGTTTTTGTGATATACATATGCATGTATGTATGTATGTATGTATATACACACATATACACATGCACATATATATACAATGTATATATAGAGATAAATTGAAATCTATATCTATAACTAGCTCTATCAACTGATTAATGTATGTATGTATATAAAAGGGAAGGCAGAGAGAGAATGGGGGGGTGAGAGAGAACAGACAGAGAGGGAGGGAGAGAGACAGAGGACAGACAGAGAGGGGGAGAAGGGGGAGAGAGAGAGAGAGAGAGAGAGAGAGAGAGAGAGAGAGAGAGAGAGAGAGAGCGAGAGAGAGAGAGAGAGAGAGAGCGCACATGCATATGTTCCAAGATGGAATTGTCAGTGAGATCCCAGGTATTTTGTGCATGTAATAAGATTTGTTCAGTCAACAAATACAGGTATTTGCAAGTTCCTATGCTTGAACATAGTTTGAATACTTTGAGCAAAAAAGGCTGTGAATACTCTTCTTGTCCCTGAAGTCCACATAGTTGTCAATGTGCTATTCCTTCCCATCATGCAGGACTTCACTCAGTGGTATTGCACAGAATCAGTGAGCAGACCTTTCTTCTTAGGGGAGTAAACAGAGAGCATGGAGAGATGTAGTTTAGATTTGAGGGGAAGATTTTTAGTGTTTGACACAACTGAGACTTTACCAAAATACTGGAAACTTGGACCATATTCTGGGTCGTTTCTACAGCCACCTCCCAGATATCTCCTCACCACATCCTCAGGCCAGTATCTTCCTCCCCTCCCCCCAGTTCTCCTCCATCTCTGTCTACCACCTCTTCATGTATTTTCTTTCTGCATTAGAATGTAAGCTTCTTCAGGTTTATTTGCTTATATTTATATCCCCGGCTCTTGACATAGTGACTAGCAAATAGTAAATAGAAATAACCCAAAGATGACAAGTCTCTTGTGGTTCATATCAGTGAAATAGGTTCACTGGCTAGTTATTAGACAATGCCATCTAAAACAGGTAGAGCACACACATACCCACACACAAAAACATGTTTTGTAGAAAACTTGACTTTATTCTACCCTACATAGAACACACACAACTGGGAAATCAGAACATAACCCTTTCCCTGTTCGTGAATCTGGATAAACTTCCTTCCCAAGAATTCATATGTCAGTGTCAGATCACAGGTTAATAACTTCACAAAATTTCCAAAAGCAAGGAACCTGACTCAGGCTTCTCCAGTAACATCTGACAGACCTAATACTAAATTATAAAGCCAATGGATTACCAGAAAGCAGGAAAACTGAAAGGACATTTGCAAGGTAGACAGTAGTCCTGTTTAGTAAGAGCATAGACAAAGTAGAAGGAAGAAATAATGATAGGATGTAATGATGGAGAGTTAGGGTATTACCAGCCTGGAGAGGGCCTTGAATACCAGCTTAAAGTGTTTTAACTTTGCTCCGGAGGCACTAGGGAGCCACTAAAGATTCGTGAGCAATGCCCTTGGTATCTAGTTTGGGTAACAGACCATTATCATATCATTGCTGGCCAGGTTGTAAGAAAAGTCCTCAAAGTCAACACTCTTGAGTGTGCAGAGGGAGTGTTGAGGGCTAACTGGAGACTGTGTTTGTTTTATGAGCAATGACATTCTAATATATATTTCCAACATCTGATGTTATTGCTGTGTTTATGAGGAAGTCATTTGTTTGGATTTTCCCCTGTAATACACTCATTTTTGTCCTTTCCATGAAATACTTCTCGACTGCTGGGCTTCTAATAACCCTTTCTAGGAAGGGAATTTAGATCTCTTGCACTGGATCAGTGATGGGGTGGAAGAATCCTTGAAAATGGGAGAAGTTAAGAAAGGGCTGATGTTTGTATCAGAACTCATGCTGGTTCTGGAGTGATGGGATGTTCAGGTCAGCAGTCCCAAAGTCATTGTAGCAAGTGGCTTCTTGTTGACCTGAACTTCCAGAGATGGGACTGCTGAATTATCTGCCTTTATGGACACTCCTCAGCCAGCCTCCGCCTGCGGAGGTTAGGGGAAAGAGGAGAAAGTCTTCCTCTCTGCTTAGAGATGTGTTTATTTTAACATTAACAAAGGGTAAAGGACTCCTTTCCAAAATTTTGGCTCAAGGTCCAGACTCAAACTGAAATAGCAATTTTGGAGCATAAGGTCCAAGAGGACAATGACTTTGTCAATGTCAGTTGCAGGGTATCAGGGCCAGATGGGTGTGGCCACTGGTTATTTTTCTGCATAGCAGCTCCAGAGTTAGGTAGGAAACCTATGGGTAATCAGTTGTTGGTGGACATAACCTTTGTTTCATTAGCACCGCGTTTTACCAAACTAAGGTAACCTGTTTACTACTACTGCTAATAATAATAATTCACAATCACTTTAAAGTTTACAGACTACCTTCCTTACAACAAGCCTTTAAAGTACATTGATGCAGTAGAAAGATGGCTGATCTTGACCTCATGGGACCTGGGTTCAAATTCTGGCTCTGCCATTTACTACTTGTGTGATCTCAGGCAAATCACTTAACCTCTCTCTGCCTCAGTTTCCTCACCTGTAAAATAGGAGGAGGAGATAGGACTAGATGACCCCTGAGATCTTTTCCAACTCTGGATCTATGATCATAGTAAGGTTGGTAATGCAAGTGTTAGTATTGCTCCCATTTTACAGAGGAGAAAATAGTATGCGAGGGTGATGAAGATGAGTGAAAATAAGGGATGAGCTATAGAGTTTAGAGGCAAAGCCACAGTACTTATCCTCAAAGGCAGCATCTGACATCATTATCAATAGAATGGATTTGCAATGATTCTATGATAGGAACTTCTAATTTTAAGCTGGTCTATTTTAAACTTTAAACAATTTTATTATACAAAGGTCATCACGTAATTGGATATTTCTCTGCTTGGTATACAATTTTAATTAGTCTTTGCACAGATAGGCTGCATCTGAACTTTCCTTCCAGTGGTAACAAATGCTAACATTCTGATTTAACAGAATAATAGTAAAAATGCCTGAGCTGGTTTAAGTTGATGGCAGAACATTGGTACATAGATCTTGCACCCAGTGTTAGGAATGTACAAATGTCTTTATAAAATGCAAAATAAATTATCTGTAGGTATGGATGACAACCTTTATATATTTTTGTTAACTGAAACTAGTAAATGATGGTTATAGTGATTTTCTTAAACATCAGCCTTTACTTCAGTCTTCTCTACAACTGACTTTTCTTAAATTAGTAAAGAACACCTCCTTGAGTATTGCCGGCATCACAGTTCATAATGATAGAGCATTATTTTAGGAAATTAGAACATGCAGCATCCCATACCTCCATCCATCACTCCCATGCCAGGTTCTTTCTCTTCTTTAGGAATTTCAGTAACAGCAACTTCTGTTGTAGTTAACAGAGAAGCTCCACCAACAGAATCCAACAAAGTAGTTCCTACAACCTTAGTTGAGTCAATTATTCCTTTTTCAACCATATTCACAAAATCTCCAAGCATGGCATTGTAACTGATCTCTGAGGAGCTTTGTAGAATTTTCTCAGTTATCAATGGTCACCACAGGGATCCTCAGTGTCTTCTTACTTATATCTATTCCATTTTTTTTTTATCTTCATTAGCTAGAGTTAACAATTCTAAGGCCAAAATGCATCGAGGAGTGCACAGCCACCTCCCAGAACCATGCCTTCTTTAGTGGCAGCATGTGTAACATCTAGTGTATCAGTAATTCAGTCTTTCTTTTCATTCACTTCTATATCACTTGTTCCGCTAACCTTTATTATAGCTACTCTGTGAGAAAGTTTGGCCAAACATTCATTTAACTTTTTGTTTTCATAGTCACTAACAGTAATCTCTAACTGTGCAATGATTTCTTCAAATACACTTTTCAACTTGGGATTTTTCACCTTTTCCTTTCAAAAGTATGGCATCATCTTTTGTTCCAATAACCTCCCCAACTTTTCCAAAGCCACGAGCTTGAATATATTCAAGATTTAGAGCCAATACCTCCTCTCCAAACACCATACCAGTAGCAATAACCATATCCTTAAGCAGGTTCTTCCTGTTGTCACCCAAACCTGGAGGTTTTGCTGCAACAACCCTCAGCCCAAGTTTTAACCTGTTCCAGAACCAATATACTTAATGTTCATCTTCAGCAATTGTGACTGAAGGCTTACAGAGAGCATTTGCAGTTTCAAGTGCACGTACAAAAGATTAGACACCAGAGATCTTTTCATTTAAGAGAACATCAGCATCCTGAAATTCACATTTCTCACCTTTAGCTGTTATTAATAAAATACAGAAAGATATAGCTTCTGTCAAACTTCAGGCCTTCAATAATTTAGAATTCATCATTCAGTGTTTTCACATCCTTTACTTTAATGACAACCTTTTCTCCAACTTTTTCTATTTCATCAGACATTATATTGCCAATTTCTTGGTCTCCATTTGTAGAAATTGCAGCACCTAAGCAGTTTCTTCAGGGATTGTGACAGGTTTAGACTGCTTCTTAAGCTCAGTAATGATGGCATCAACAGTCAACATCATATCTCTCCTGAGCTCCACTGAATTTGCCCCTTCGATAATCTCCTCAAAGTCTTCCATCACAATGGACCTTGCCAGGACCTTGACAATGGTAGTTCCCAGACTCTTCGTTTCTGTTACTGGCAACATCTTGAACTAGCCTAGCACCAATGTTTTTATATTTGTCCTTCAAGCCACTTGCTTTTGTAACAGTCACACTGTCTTTTGTTACCTTGGGACTTCCCCATTCTGTTCAGTGATTACAGTTCTCCCCTTTTGCCCCAGAGTAACAGCAACAGCATCAGCTAAAAGATCTACACCTTGAAACATTAAGGCTCAGGCACCTGCTCCAAATTTGACATCTTTACCGTAAGAATACGTCAAGTGAGGGGACCAGTGACCTAGACGTTGGTTTTATCTGATGAAGGACTGTGGACAACTGGAACATTTCTGATCCCACCCTTGCTCTATTCCTCTAAGGCTGAGGTTGTGCCCCCATGGTGAGGGTACCTCCATGGTGGCTGCTGCTGTCATTTCTTGCAGCCAGTTGTAGGCCCTCCGGTGGGCTGAAGCAGCATTAAGCTGGGCTTTTTGATCTCACATTTGGCAATGGGCAGGGGTCGGGGGGGGGGGGGGGGGGAGGTGTTTCACAGATTTTTGCCATGAGGATTAAGTTCACATCCTCTTGAATAAAAAGAAGAAAGGACCTTCAAAGGTAGAGGTTGCATAGAAATATGTCAATGAATCCAAATCACAGGAGGATAAATCTAGAGTTGAAATGGACCTTAAAATTCACCAGGTCTAATCCCTAACACCACCCATTTTACAAATGAGGAAACTGAGACTCCAAGAAAGAAAGAGATTTACCCAAGGTCATACAGATAGTGAGAAGCAGAACCAGAATTTGAGAGTCTTCCTGTCTTAGAGTGCTAGTTCTTTGGATTTTTATTTATCCAGATGACCACAACTTTTCCCAAAAAATCTGAAGGAGAGACTGTGTTATACATGTCATATTCGCAATGCAATTATACTGAATGTAAGATTATTATAATTCCCTAACTTGCTATTAATAAAAGTAGAAATGACTGTTTAAAAATGGCATATTGTATTTCTACATAAGTAATAGAAGCCCATTATGATGCAGCTGATTAATTGTTCCTGAGTCACAGCTTAATGAGCACATACAGCAAAATCCTGATTAAACAAATGTTAGTTCTATTCTCAGCCCCTAGCATTAATACAAAAAGAATGTGTTCTATAATTTACAAGAAAATTAGACATTAAATCAGTTCAACAGTCTAATTATATGGAATAGGAAATACTAATCAGGCAGAATGTCACAGAATCTTAAGAGTTTTAAGGGACCAATCTTTATTGGAAGAAGAGTCCCTTTAGACCACACCCTACAAGGGATCATCCAGTCTTTTCCCTGAAGAAGTAAGGGAGAGCCCACTAACTCCTGAGGAGGTCATGCCATTTTTTTGATTACTGTAATGATTAAAACACTTCGCTTTATATTGAACCTAAATTTGTGTCTTCACAGTTTCTGCACATTACTATTTGTTCTGTCCTTTGGTGCCAAAATCCTTCTTCCACATATGATCCATTTAATGTTTGCAAACTGTTACATCCTCCCTGTGTCTTCTTTAGGCTAAATACCCTCCCTTTGTCCAATGATTCTTGTATGGCACAAGCTGGGGATCTTTCCCCTATCTCCACCCTGGTTGCCCTCCCCTGGACGCTGTCCAGCTTATCAACCTCCCTTCTAAAATGCGGTTCCCAGAACTGAAGAAAGTATTGTAGGTGTGGTCTGACCAGAGTAGAGTGGAGTGGTCTCTATGATCTTGGATTTTCTGCCTCTCTCACTGTAACCTAAGATTGCATTAGCTTTCTTGGCATCCATATCACACTGTTGCCTCATATCGAGGTTGTAGCCCACTAATACCATGACATCTTTTTTCAGATAACCTGCTATGTAGGCATAACTTTACTATCTTGTACTTATGAAATTGACTTTTGAAATGAAAAAGCCTTTAAAGTATCCTTATTCAATGTCATTTAATTAGATTAATTAATGGTCCAGCCTGTCAAGATCTTTCAAATGTACGTATGTATCTTTTGCTTTTATATCACCATCATTCCAAAAACCCTCCTTCCTCTCCCACCCAGTTAAACACCCCCTTAAAACAAACAAATGAATAAACAAAAGAAAGAAGAAACAAAGTAGTTGAACAAAACCAGCCAGAATATCAACAAAGTTTGCCATATATGAAATATTCAACAATCACACTCCCCCACCTGTACAAAGAAGGCAAAGAAGTTCATTTTCCTAAGTCTTCTCCAGGGCCGTGCTTCTTGGTCATTATAATTACACAGTGTTCTGTTTCTTTTTGTTGTTGTTGTTCTTCCCATCGTAATCATTGCACATGTTGGTTTTTGTGGTTTTTTATACTGTACTCTATATCAGTTCATAAAGTTTTCCTAGGCTTCTCTGAGTTTTTTATATTCATTGTTTCTTATAGTGCAGCAATCTTCCATTACATTCAGATACCACAATTTGTTTAGTCATTTTTCAATTAATGGGCTTATAATTTGTTTCTAGTTCTTTGCTACCACAAAAAGCGTTGCTGTGAATGTTTTAGTATAAATGGGACTTTAATGTCTCTGACCTCCTTGGGATGTATCCCAGCGAGGGGATCTCTGGGTTAAAGGGTATAAACATTTTATTTAGAGCATAATTCTAAATTGCTTTCCAGAATGGGTGGACCAATTTACAGTTCCATGTATTATTATGCTTTTCTTACTGTAACCTCTCCAAGAATGACTAATTCCATCTTTTGTCATCTTTGGCAATTTACTAGGCATGTGGTGAAAATTCAGAATTACATTTCTCTTATTAATGATTTGGAGCAATCTTTTAAAGATCTTTTTAAATCCTGATTCTTTCTCAGCATGTTAACAATCCCTTTCAAGACTAGTTAGCTGCTTACATTGTGTACTTTCAGTGACGCCAGGAAAGACACACATCTCATGACTTTTATCCTTGCCCTCTCTCCTTCCAAACCTCCTCTACTGGCTCACTGGTCCCTGACATAATCTCTAATAATTTAAAAAGAAACTAAGGAAGAGGTGTTTGTTAAGTCGAGATGGCTCACCTATTAAGGATGCCATTTTTGCTGGCCCTGATGCACAGATTCATCATAGCCACTCCCTTAGGTATGCTCAATGTCCAAAACCCCAACCAATGAATTAAATCAAACTTCTCACATAGAACATTACTCACATTAAAATCTGAATATTTTTCCAGCTCTTGGCCTCATTGAATGTGGGGCAGAAGCAGTTGAACAGTATCTGAAAAGGTATAGAGATGGACATGAGTAAGCTATGTTAAGTAAATCTGGATCAGTAAGCTGTGGTTAGATTAGGGGGCGGGGAGGGAGGATATGGTGCAATCCTGAAAGTTTGCAGAGTTTAGATTTCGTAGTCAAGTGAACCATTGATTCAAAAATCCCAATCTTCTGTTTTGTTTTGAGCTCCAGCCCCTTACCTTCTTTTCACTATGGACAATTAAAACTATAGCAATAGAAGAGCCCTCTAAAGAAGAAAAGGGAAAGCAAAGAGCATAAGACCTACTCTAGTTCATATAAACCAAGTTCTTCATTTTATTATTAATGAGGCAACTGAAGTCCAAGTAAGTTAGGGCTTCCTAGCTAAGACCTCACAAGTAACCAGTAGACAATCTGGAATTAGAACCCCAATCTTCCAATTCCAATGCCTTCCATTATATTTCACTGAAGTTTTGGAGGAAGGTCAGAAGGAAGGAAAAAAGAAGGGAAAAGCATTTATTAAATGTCTACTATGTGCCAAGAACCATGCTTAGCATTTTAAAGTCATTATTTCTTTTAATCAGAATGGTGTAAAACAATGGTGTCAAACTCAAATAGAAATGGAGCCACATAAGCCATCCATAAAGATCCTCAAAGTTGTATATTTAGCTTTAAAACATAATATTAACTATGTTTTATTGTATTTTTGTTAATTATTTTGCAATTATATTTTAATCTAGTTTGGGTAGCACTCTGAAGAGTGTTATGGGCCACATGCAATGTGTAGACCATTTATTCAAGAACTTCGGCAATGTGTCATGGGTAAAATTCAACAAAGGTGATTGAGGTATATTTTCTCTTAGTGAGGTAACATTTCATTAACAGGAGCACTACCTGCCAATTGAATGGGTCAATGTCTTGCCTCAGTTTAGCCAAAGACAAAGAATTGAAGATGGAACTCCTTTTTTTATAAGGGTAGAACAAAGAACAGATCAGAATAGGTAAGGAAATCATACCATTGTTTATAGGATTAGCAGCATCATGGGGATGAAGGCAACACGATTGGTTACATTAAGGAAAGCAGGTACACACACACACACACACACAAAACCAGATGGCATGGAGTACAGTGAGTTCAAATCCAACTTTAGACACTCACTAGCTATGTGATGCTGGGCAAGTCACTTAACCCTATTTGCCTAAGTTTCCTCATCTGTAAAATGAGCTGGAGAAGGAAATGGCAAACTACTACAATATCTTTGCCAAGAAAACACCAAATGGGGTCATAAAGAGTCAGACATGACTGAACAACAAGTGAAAGAGAACCAGTTTAGAGTCAGAAGATCTCAGTTCAAAACCTGGTTCTGACATTCGCAAGCCAAGTGACCTTGGGAATATCATTCAAATTCTCTGGGCTTTAATATCCTCATTTGTAAAATGAGTCGGTTGAACTAGATGACCTCTAAGGTCTCTCATAGCCTTAAGTCAATGATTCTATAATCCTTATCTTTATCTCACCCCTTTCCTTATTTCTCCTCTCATTTTTAAGTACATGTATATCTTTTGGTCTACAAACTTGTAAACATCTAGAGAGTTGGTTAAGCAAACATTAATGGAACAACATTGTACAAAGAACTTTAAGGACCTACTAAGGAAACAGAAAGTATGATCCCTTCTCACGAGTTTTGGAGACAAAACATACACATGCAACAACTTGGGGAAAATTCAGTTGAATATAAGTGCCTACAATGTGCCAGGCACTGTGCTAGAACTGGAGATGACATGAATGGAACAGTTGTTTCCCTCAAGAATCTTATATGTGAATGGAACACTTAACTAAGCATGGAGTTACCCACTGCAAAATAGTATGTGAAGAAATGAGTCTGTGATGACAGTGATGAGCAAAGCTTTCTGGACACGTGGGTGAGTGGTGAGCCAACTTTGAAAGGTGAAGATGAACAGAGAGGAAAGAGACAGGTTCATAAAATCAAAAAGAGCATTCTAGGTAAAGAAAAGGACACAGATTATAAATGCATAGCACACCACTGGGTAGGGACCACAGGTAGGGTGAGTAGAAAGATGTAGTAGAGAGTTTTAAAAAAGGAATAGTAGTTAATGGCATACTTTAAATACAATGCCTTGCACATAACAGGTGTTTAATATTTTGTTTTGAATTTAATTCAATACCAGGCTGAGGAGCCCAGCTCTTACATGTCAGAGCCACTATAGATTTTTAAGCATAACTTACCACTTAAACCAGCATTTGCCTCTAAGCTATTTCCTATGAATCTTAAGATTATGACAGGCAGTTAATAAACCTTTATTATGCACTTACTATATGCCAGGCAGTATGAGTGCATAAGTTCCTAGAGGGCAAGACCTTTTTTTTTTTTCATTTTTGTATCCTTAACTCCAGTACAATGCCTTGCTCATAAAAAGTGAGTGATAAATGTTTGTTGGACCGAATTGGGAAGTTGAGAGATTTTTTTAAAAGTTATTTGTGAACTTTTTTTCTCCTTTGGATAGAAGATGTTTTTTTTTCATCTTCCTTATCCAAAATTTACCATTTGAAGTTCACTCTGAATATCCCCTCTCTACCCCTACCCAACACAGAGAGAGAGAGAGAGAGAGAGAGAGAGAGAGAGAGAGAGAGAGAGAGAGAGAGAGACAGAGAGAGAGACAGAGACAGAGACAGAGACAGAGAGACAGAGAGAGACAGAAACAGAAAGAACGAAGGAAGGAAGGAAGGAAGGAAGGAAGGAAGGAAGGAAGGAAGGAAGGAAGGAAGGAAGGAAGGAAGGAAGGAAGGAAAGGAAGGAAGGAAGGAAGGAAGGAAGGAAGGAAGGAAGGAAGGAAGGAAGGAAGGAAGGAAGGAAGGAAGGAAGGAAGGAAGGAAGGAAAGAAGGAGGGAAGGAAGAAAGGAAGGGAAGGAAGAAGAAGGAAGGAAGGAAGAAAAAGAAAGAAAGAAAGAAAGAAAGAAAGAAAGAAAGAAAGAAAGAAAGAAAGAAAGAAAGAAAGAAAAAGAAAGAAAAAGAAAAAGAAAAGAAATTTTATTATACAGATTTCGTAAGTTTCAAGTGGTTCTGATTCGGGGGCATTTTTTCTATAAATTATTAAAAGAAGTTACTTATAATGAATATGTTCATTCATGCCCGTATAGATACAGGGAACATATACTTATAATTACAGCATTATGTGTGTGTGCCCATCCACAATAAACAAGGGCATATATCTCTCCAAGTAAAATCCATGTTTCATTTCCCAGGCCCCTGTCTATGCCTGGTGGCTCCCAGAGTGAGGCTGCTGGTGCACTGAGTATTGATGATAATTGCCTTATTGTTTTATAATGCTTAAGTGTCTTTCTTTGTCTTATGTTTTCTATTATAAAACCAATGCCAGCTGCAAAAAAAAAAATACCTTGGAATAATATGTCCTTGGTACATCATAATGAATAGTGCCAACTCTGTGAATTTGGTTTGTTTATCATTCAGTGATCAGATGGTGGTTCCATAAATATGCCTCCCTTTGCCCCAAATCCCCAGAACTTCTAACACACAAAATTTCCTCCATTTTTGCCCCAAAGTATTCAAATAATTGACTTCTGGTCATAAACCATGGTTAACCATAAGAGATTTTTGAATCAATCATCTTAATTTACTAAAGACTAATTACTATTATATAGGAACTAGTGGCAAAATCAACAAAGACTAAATTTAACATGCTTGCCAAGCTAGTATCACTTATAGCAAAATCCTCCCTTAATTGAGGTTCCAGGATTTGTATGATTGTGAGAAATTAAGGGAGCGGGCACATTTGCAAAGCATTTGAAAGATATTGCTTAAAGTTTCCTTTCAAGTTTCAAAGTTTCAGGATCTTTGGTACAGAAGAAGGAAGGAAGGACCCTAGGCAAGTGCCACCTCCTTGGTTTACTACCTTCTTGTAGCCTCCCCCTGCCCCCTGCCAGCTGGTACTTGTGTGGCTGAAACCAAAATTGGGAAAGTGAATATGCAGCTGCAGGGATCTGTTTCTCTTTCAGTTGGACCCCACTGATGTAGGACATGCATTGGAAGCTAACAAATCTGAATTACCCAACCCAAGGAAGGCAAGGAGAGATACAGAAGTAAGGAAACAAGAGACAACTGACAGGAACTGAAGAGTAACTACTGACTAATTTTCCTTTGCTGACTAATTTCTACCAGCCCTCTCAATCCCTACCCCAACTCTGACTTGATAAGCAGTAGCTAGCTGTTTCTTTAATTAATTTAAAGCTGGTAAGAATATAGCACATGCTATTAAAGAAGTATCTTTTGTTGATATTGATGATGTTTTAGAGAAGGAAAAAGGAGAAAGGAAATCATGTTGTGAAAAGAGTTTTCTTGATGATGTCCTCTAAAACTGAAGCCTGAAAAATACAAAAGTAAATTTGAGGCTAAAACGAAGTAAAAAAATGTGAATCAATATTGTAGGAAAAAATGATATTAGAAATTATCTTGTTCTTATAAAGGCAGTCACAGGAGAACGTGGAATTCTCTTTTCACAAATCTAGATGCGTGTGAAGATGAATCAATGTGAGTGCTATATTTTACGATACGTTTACCTTCTGAAGCATTCAGGGTGCGTGAATAAATACGTATTACAAGGAAATTTGGCATTTTTACCAAATAGTCCCTCATATTAGACAATAAAGGACCGAGAGAGTTTTTAACTATTCCTAAGCCTAGAGGAATCATAGGTGTAGAAGGATACCTAGAAGTCATTAGGTTCACCCTCTTCATTTTATGAAGAGAAAACAGAAATCCACAGAGGTTTAAATGATTTGCCCATGATCCCACAGTGAGGCAGTGGCCGAGGAAGGCTGGAAGAAGTCCAGAACCTATGAATCTACATGCAGAAGTCTTTCTGCCATATTATTCTGCTAGCCAAATAAGTCTCTCCCCTCCTCGAAAAAATAAAAAATAAAAAGGACACCTCAGTAGTGTGCAGGTCTTTGCCAGGAATAAGCTCACAATACTGAACTCTAAAGAT